TGAGCCTAAGTTAAGAACACTGGTTATAGTAGAAAGTGTTTGTGTCTGCTGTAGAATATAGTTCTATCATTCCGAGAAGTTGCATTGTAAAAATTACAATGTGAAATGTTAATATTGTTGAGCAAAGAGAATGGACAGAAAAAAATATATGAAATGATAGATTACATTGTATCTAGCTCTTTATTTGAAAATTTGTTAATATCACACCAATCATTCATTGGCCAATAGAAAGTGCCCCCTATATTGGCAAAACTGCAAACTCCAGCAACACTGCCCTTATCCCACGCTTGCTGAGAAAAACGATTAAGTGCTCATTCATTCACTGACTGGGAGGAGAAGAAAGCAACTGTTATCTGAATGATTTAAAAATAGTAAACAAACTTCTTGATAATTTAAATTTTTATTTTTACTTTTTTTGGCAGTGAATTAATTCAGTTGACATAAATTAAACATACTATAATTTATATTGCTATACAGTCAAAAGTCTTTAATCCGGAATGATCAATAATCCGGACCTCAAAGCTACAAACTTTCTGCGCATGCGTTGACGCACACACATAATACTGTTGGGAAATATGACTTATTGTAACCCTTTTACTGCATCATCTCTCCTCCTTGAAATGTTTATTAGGCTTAGTTCTTATTTTAAAGTAATATAGTAGTTACTTCTACTTCTTTTTCTTACTGCCACTGTTTGTGTTGAGAACGGACTGTTTCAGCCTAATTGATATGCAAAAACGAAACGTGATGTTACGTCATCTGGAAAGCCAAATCGTGCAGATAGCTGATTGGTTGCCGTGAGATGACGTCATGCCTACTTCTGGTATAAGTATCTCGCATCGCTCTGGCTCAGCCCTTCTAGTTCCTGCTTTCCTGGCTCTTGGGTGTGCGATTTCCAGCCCCTTCAGAAGGATGCGTGCAGTCCGGTGAATAAGTTCCTTGGTTCCTGTATACAAGATGATTGTTCCAGAATAACTTCCTTGGTTCCTGTATACAAGATTGATTGTTCCAGAATAAGTTCCTTGGATCCTGTCCACAAGGTGATTGTTCCAGAATAAGTTCCTTGGTTCCAGAGGCTACCATGTGAGTGACTGCCGTGGGCAGCATCCCTGTTCTTCATGAAGGCGGCATTTAAAATACGTTAGCGGCGATTCCTCGTGTTCAACTACTGTAAGCGGAGTTAGGCCGGATTTAAGTGCTTTCAAGGACTTAATTTAAACTTTCAGGTGCTTTTTGACATTGATCATGGGGACTTATTGAATGTGTAGCCAATTTCATTTGAGACCGCATAATTTCTGTTTAGGACATTTTGTATGTATTGTTGAATGCCAGTATTTTTGGAGAGACCAGGTAAAATATTATTTGATGAATGAAAGTTTGAAAATGATGGTTATATTATATTTTTTCTAAGACTCTGATATTGTTTAAATTATTCTTTGTGTTTTTATTTTTATATATATATATTGTTAATAAATTGGTTAAGTTTGAAACCTCTTTATTGTCTTCAATGTCTGCACAACATATAATCTCAGGGAGCTTTTATTGCTACCACTGCTAAATGTTTAATTTTATAAACTTTAAACTTTGCTTTAGCATCAAATACCTTTACGCATGCGCATAATACGTTTACGCATGCGCGTTTAATGTATAACGGACAGTATAAGCTAAGCTAAAATTATCTAATTATCTATTTCAGTTAATGTTGCAGATTGCGTTGTTCCTTAATCTTCTAATTGGATCCGGCCTATTATTTTTTGCAGACTGTTAGAGCAATTTTATAAAAGTAAGCTTGAACTTTCGATTATGTCAAAAAGAATTTCCGATTCTGGAGCTACCAAAGGATCTACAAAGCGAAAGCATGTTTTGATGTCCTTCAAACAAAAGTGCAAAAAATGGATAAAGGCATATCCTTTGATTCTCTAACCATTCCAAAACATGTTTATCAATTTCACGCTGTTCTGTGCGGGGGGGGACGTCGCGGCGCGCAATGAACTGAAAGTTGGTCTGTCAGCACTATCCTTATCTTCAAGGCAGATGTTTTTATTTTATTTGGCATATAATTCCTTACTAAATGTAGTATTTCATCTCGATGTACTCCGTCTTTGATATGATTTAAACAAATTCCTCGTCATTATAAATATCACGAATACACATCAAGTAGTTTCTGGTTGCAATTTTCTAATTTTGACTATGCGTAATGTATGCTTTATGCATGCGCGGGTTGAAAGAAATGTTTAATAAAGTAAACAAATAAATATTAAGCTTTTTTTTTTTTTTTTTTTTTTTTTTGTAAATTTGATACCCTTAAATCATAATGCTCTTTATTTCATAAATTACGGTTTCATATTTTTAATTTTATAATTTCTGCATGCCATCTTATCAGATTTAAACTGAGGATCTATAATCCGGATAAACCGACAATCCGGAAGCGCCGGAAGTGATTAAAGACTTTTGACTGTATTAATCATATATATATATAGATTCAACTGCAGCTTCACTGCATAAAAAATTATTAATTAAATATGCTAGGTATGGGAAGAAGTCGCCAAATGCGCAGGGAATTGGAGGAAACGAACAGCCGCTGGGAGTTTGGTGTGTATGGATAACTTGAAGGGGGCGGGTGAAAAGCTGCAAAAAGGTTGTTCTAGCATTGTACATGTTCTCAAGCTAGATGATTATGAGCTATAGTGGACTTAACCCTTTCAAAACGGGCGTCCCATATACGAATTCCCTAAGAACGTCTCTTACAGCCGGGCATCCCATCTACGCATCACTAGAGATTGCTTTCAGAGGACGGGTGATGCATATACGCATTTTAAGCTGGAGCGTTTTTCTGAAGGCCATTGGCATCCTATGTCCATTACTTTTGAAATGAACACAGTTTTAGGTTCCTGACCTTGAGTTTGATATATTCTGCTGGACTTTGGTATTTTACTCTTCAGCTCTTGCGAGGGTGGGGGGAGGGAAAGCGTAAACAGAGGTGAGCTATTTAAATCGCTGCATGCTAATGAAAACATCCGCGTGCCTGATTTATACCCAATTCCTTTTTTATTCTATTTTTTCCTCTACTATGTATGGTATTTTAGGGTTAGAATGTGGAGTACTGTTACGTTTTGCATTGCCTTCAGATATATTTCTGTTTCTTCTCTTTTTATTTTGGAATGCCTCATCTCCAGTCTCTATTATGGCGGGAAGGCGCTATTTATCAGAGGACGAATACCCTTGTATGGTCAATGAACAATTTACTAATGCAGATGAGAGTGATGATTCATTTTGTAAAGAGTTAGAAAGTGATACTTTTTCTAAGAGTTAGAAAGTGGTATTTCTCCGTGCTTTGAGATTTACCACACTCGGTCTTCATTTTAAATTTTGTTACTTCTTACTGTAAATAGTCTTTATTGTGTTGTTTTATTAATTAAAATTTTTATTGATGGATTTTATCAATTAAAACTTTGGAATAATTTAAATAATGCTTCTGAAAATTATTTTAAAAGATAGGAATTTTTTAAGTATATTTTCATGCAAAATTAAAGAAAAAAAAATCCATGCTCTAACTGCTTGACTAGACTGGATGTAATAATAACATGCTAGCTGGTAATACCTCAAAAATTGTCACATTATCATCTTTTCTATAAAAGACTTTCACAGCAAATGCTCCTTCTACAATACTCCAGTGTTGCATTATAATTTATAGCTGCATAGCATAGTTGTTGGTTATAAAGTATATTACATAGTAACTGAATAACTGTTGACATGCCAGTATGGGTTGTTCCTGTGTTCAAATTTTTGTGTTTCTCTAAAACACCCTATATTTATATGAAAATGTAACAAAAAGAAATACTGTTTTAGTCATGTTGTATTAGCTTCTCTTAATGATGCTTACCATATATTAAACTCCTGCATGGTGAGTAGTTTAATGGGATCCATTAAGAAAAGCATCAGTGTGCTTGATCATATGAACACTCTGAAACCACCTCTGATATTTAATATTTTAAATGTTATAATTCAAAAATCAAGCGTTATTCTGATTAGTTGATACATCATTACTTAATGTGATTAAAATTTTAAATTCTAAATAATGTTATCACTGACAAAGACATAATAAAAGCCTACTCTATGTTTCTTTGTTTTGATGAGTTAGATGGGATGATGATTGCTTATAGTTTCTTTCAGTTCCTTAGAGAATAGATTATATGTTCATTTTTTTAAATATTATTCATTGATTTTACTCGTACATACTCATTGTAGAATGCAAATTCTGCAGCAGTATAACTGCAAACATAAAAATCCTCAAGCATTGAAGAGCTCCATTATCAGATAAAAAGAAAATAACTCGTGAACGCACAGGTACAAAACAGAGCGTCATGTGATTTCTATCTGTTATATTTTTCTGTGGATTAAATATGTAGCATGTGAAGGAGCTTTGTTCGTTTGAGTAAATTCTCATCTAATGTTGACTAGACTTAAGTACTATATATCAGAGTTGCATTTATGTGTCGTAGATCTTGATATTAATGGCTCAACTTCATGGAATCATTACCTTTTGTGTAGGGCCTTCATGATTCTGCCATATGTAGAACAACTTTTGTGTCTGTATCTCCCCATTTTAGAGATTAGTGTTTGTGGACATTGGGGCTCCAGTCTATATTTTTCATCTTTCAATTTTAGAACAATCTAGTTAAATACATAATTCATTTGATGGTTTGCATATCCTGGAGTTACTGAAAAGTTGTATCTTTACACATTAGAATGCATTTCAGCAAGTTTAATAACTTTTAATAAAATTATGTTTCTAACAAACTAAGTTAAAATTGTCAAATTATGATTAAACATATGTTTAGTTTTAGTACTGTTATATTTTGTAAAGTGAATAATTTTTGCATCTCTTTCTGTAAATCCTACCATGTGTGTAATATTTTTTTATGTTCTTGTAAGTTAAGGGAACTTGGTTATGTTTTCATGCATCATTATTGAAGCCTTTTCCATCTGTATTTTAATAGGTGGCTGCTCATGGCTTACATCAAGAAGTTAAGCAGTGGTCCAGTAAGGATAATGAAATAATTGCTGCTGCTAAGAAAATGGCATTACTAATGGCCAAACTAAGTCAACTTGTCAGGTATGCATCAAGGATTTGTATTTTTTGATACATCAAAAATATGTATAAAAAGAGATAAACAGCTTGTGAAAGAGTCCACAAGCTCATCTTGGGCATCTGCATTCATAATCCATATTGTTGTTGTAGTCGCATTAGCAGTTAAAGCGTCTCCCTAGCTGTAGTGAGAAATATCAACATATATATGCATATAGAAAGAAGTGACCTTTGTAGTAAAAAACCCAAAGAATTTTTTTAAAAATCCATTGACTGCACAGTTTGCTTGCTAAGAATTCATTGGGAATGGCCAGAACCCAATAGTCATTTAGCCAGTTATTCACTGAGGCTACATAGAAAGCAACCATTACTACAGCCACAGGAAGGGAGAAGAACAAGCATCTACACATTCTCTGCTCGGGTCCAACAATATAGGGGAAGAATAACATGAGGAAACTGAGGAACAAGTTTTAAAAAGTAGGGAATGTTAAATGTGTGTATAATAATAATCCGTGCCTTCTCTTGGATTAGAACATAATCCTTAACAGTATGTGAAGGTTAAAAAAAATTATGTCATTCATCAGAAAGGGGAAGGCTTACAGAATTGGGAAATGTCACGTGTATATGCAGTAGAAAACATTATATGTCAGGAAAAGGGTTTCCCCCTCAGTTTACTTAATTTTTTCTGAGTTTACCGTTATTACCTCCAATAGCTCAAAATTGAAGAATATGCTGCTTAGTAAATGCTATGAAATAACTGATTCATATAGATTCTCATTTCTAACACCCATTGGAAAGATAAATGTAGAGGGTGCTGTAGGACAGCATTTCTTAATCTTTTGATTCTTAACAATGGAACAGTTTGATTTCTGAGACTCAACGTAGCCCAGTTAAGTGAATCTGTCAACTCTAATCTTTGTATTTTCTATTTCCTAACCTTTAAAATGCACATTCTCTTTTTTCTTTTTTGTACAAAGTAAATTAATTATTGTAATAATTTAAAATGAGGTACCATATTTCAGCAAAAATATCCATTTTGACTGCTGTTGAATGCAGTTTAATGATGTTATTGCAATACATCATGACATCTGTATGTATGGACAAAATAAAGGACACTTTTTCCCTTAAAATATTATAAAACTGATTTAAAATGGATTCAGAAGAGATTTTTTTCGTGGTATCTATACATTGTATGTATTTCGCATAACTTAAAAACAAGTAGCTCCAGAACATTTAAATTTTGTAAATAGGAGAGCTATATGATGCAGTTGTGCACCTCCCTTTTTGGTGGCAATCGGCCACACCAAAAGTAAATAAATATGTATATACATATACCCGAGTCGTCTCTGTGAGCTCAATTTTTTTATTCTTATTTGTTGGTAAATTGTGCATTTTTTTAAATTTAAAAATGATTGAATTATGTTGTTTCTTATGTTCTGGTTAAGATTTTTATGCCTTTAGTTAACCTGCATGCAATATTTGTAGAATTATCAACATTTTAAAAGTTGTTTAAGTGTGGCTAAGCCTAAATTTTTTTACCATAGCAGCCATATTTGTTTATATTTGAAACTTAGTGGATTTGTTGCCACTCTAAAGAAACTAAACTTTGCAACAACAACAACTGTTCTTCTTTTTTACATCATTTTAGATTTATTATAGTATTTGAAAAGAACATGTGGCAACCACTGAATAATTCTTCAGATGATATAATTTTTGCGTATTCTGAGTTATAAAATGAGTGAACCTAGCACCAGAGTGTCACTATGGTAAATAAATATAGTGAATTTTTAAGAGTGCATTTATTCTATTGTGGTTTATGTGCTATCAACGAAGTAGATTTAATTCAATTCAATAAGTTTAAATGAAATGCAGGAAAAAATGTGGATAATAGTCTGTGCAAGGAAGCCATGTGATGTACACATCAGATTTTTTTAATTACAATTTTGGATGGTTATAAGGTGATTTCAACTGTATTTTACTGTATTGTAAACCTATTAAATATTGCTTTCTTATAAAACTGCTGAATACCATCTGACTCCAAAGTGATCAAATGTTGTAGGTATAGAAGGGTAAAGATTCTCTTAAATGTAACATGTAGTTGTAGCTCTCCTTTAAAAAATTAACCTCATTCTTTCTACAGTCTGGGAAAAAAAGTATTGCAAAAAGTGATTGTTTTTTAAAAAATCAATTATTATTTAAAAAATAATAATTGATTTTTGAAGTTGGTGAGATTATGGTTACTGCTGCTGTGAGATACTGAGTGTAATATAAAAGTGATGATTGAAAATTTTGATTACTGTCAGTGGATTAATTAAAGGTTGTCATTATATATGCATTTAAATTGAAATTGAATCTGCTATTTAGATGCTATGAAAGTTCTTTGAAAGAAAACAAGTAATAAGAGAGACTGTATTTTCAGAAAATAAATTTTTCAAGCAGTAATAATTTTTCTTACATGCTTTATTGTGAAAAAATTTATAAAACTTTTTTTTTTTTTCATTATAGAGGTGATGGTGGATCCAAAAGAGACCTTATAGCATGCTCTAAGGATATTGCTGAAGCATCGAAAGAAGTCACCCGTCTAGCTAAAGAACTAGCTCGAATGTGCACAGATAAGAGAATGAGAACTGTATGTTTTCTCTCAATATGTGTAAATTAGAAGTGATTTAAAGATTTTTATTGTTATTTGCTGTTTAAATGTGAGTTATCTAATGAGGGGAGCACATGATCTCTATCTTACCAATTTCGCTGCAGTTCTGTATAATTGTAGATGACCTTAAAATAAATGTATTTGTAAAGATAGAACTTGCATCTCTCATGTATAAGTGAGAAAAATTGAAGTCAAAATTCTAAGTAACATTCATAAGATTTAAATACCTCTGTCACCAGCAGAACGAATGTCTGCGAGGTTTTATCATCAAATTTCAAATGAGACCTCATTTTAAAGACTATTGAACTGTCTGAGCACCTTTAAGAAACCAGATCTCAGATGATGATCAGTGCATGTTTCATTTAAAGAACAAAGATTAAAGTTGTAAAAATTTGATTTTGACATCTTTTGAGATTTCAGGTTTCCTCAACCCTAAATTTTTCTGTCTAACGGATATTAATGCTGGTTAACCCTTTTGAGATGGTGCACCTTTGTTTAAGAAGTTCCCTCGGGACAGATGGAAGTTGAAAGTAATTGTCCCACAGGATGGAGGTTTTGCATCCACTAAACCTAACTTTAGGGGGGAAAAATCCAAAAATTAATTTGTCCTAACATTGTTATTTGTGGTACTGTTTTAGATTATTATTTAAGCTCTCATATATGTTAAAATTAGCATTTTTCCTTACATGAAAATGCATAAAAACATTTAGAGAAATAATTTTCAGAAGCGCTATTCAAATTATTCCAAAGATTTAATTGAAAAATACATTAATAAACTTTTAAATTAATAAAAAAACTACTAGAAAGACAATTTACAAGAAGTAACAAAACATTTCACATGAACTGGAAGGCAGATACTCAATGAGCACAGTCTGTGACAGAATGTTCATATGAGAATCGCTAGAAAATCGCCCTCCAACTCTTTAGGAAATGAATAATCACTCTCATTCATTCTCTTACTGGCTTATTTACCATGCAGGTATATGCTTCGTTTGATAAATAACACTTGCTCGCCATAATAATCTGAAGTCAGGCTTTCCGAACTCTCCATAATAAACTGAAGTCAGGCTCATTTACCACGCAAGTCTGATAAATAATGCTTGCTCGCCATAATAAACTGAAGTCAGGCTTTCTGAAATAAGGGAGGTATGTGAAATATAAGCAATACAAAGCATAATAGAACCTCATGTAGTAACTCTAAAAGACCCTACATAGTAACAAAAAAAAAAAAAAAAAGGATTCAAAGGTATATCAGAAAAGTGAATGTTTTTATTATGTGGTGAGTTAAAGCGACGAGTTGCTTACATTACACTTCCCCTCATTCTCTGCAGTAGCTGACACCAGTGTTATGCAGAATGTGACCAGATTATTTCAAAAGTAATGGACACAGGATGCCATCCAGTGGGTTTTAAAACATTCCAGGACACTGGCACAAATGCGTGACGGCCAGGGGTGAACAAGAAAATGCCCCAGCACACCAGTGTGCCAGCTGGTAAATGAGTGCGTTTCTTGCTGGCGCGTAAGCATGACAGTTGGCATATAAGTGTTTTAGCAGGATGTAAACCAGGATTGTACTAACTTTTTGAGATGGCTTCTCAAATATCTGTAAGATCCTTAAAAAGATGGGGTTTCTCACACCTAATGATTTCCCCCTTGATACTTGTAACAATGGTTATTGTAAGTAATTTGATTCATGCATTTACTTTTCAAGAGGCAGGGAAATGTAGGTATTGTTGACCAAACTGCCAAATATGTTTCCTAATGGAGGAAAAATTTTAAAACTGTAATTGATTTTAAATCAGACTACTCAGTGATACACAAAAGGCAATATATGAGTTAGGATTCAAAAGTTCCTGGACTGAGTCTATATCATAAAAAGTATTATGAATTAAATTGCAGAAACATGCCATCCTTTGATATAAGGCCCTTGTGCAACAAGACACTTTTGCCAGCACCTGTAAAGTTCATGAAAGCATGTATAGAATGCATTATTGGCCATGTCCTTTAATTCAGCAGGCAATGCACATTTAATTTCATTAGATTATGCAATGCTTAATTCAGAAATGACTTTGTTGTACCATAAATTATTGTTCGTATTGCAATGTTCTGTTACCTGAGTGCCTCTAATTTAATGCCTTTCAGTTTAAAAAAGCAAATAAAACAACCAAAGAGAAGCTATGAAACTATTTTTTGGAATAATATACAGTAGTACCTCCCAATAAGGGACACCAACTGAACCAGACATCTTGTCCCTTAGATAGAGGTATCTCTTCTTCAGAGGGTACATACTAAAAAAATGTAATTTGAGATTTAATGGTTTCAAGCTTTAAATAAATTATGTATAAATAAATAACATAGTCAGAAGTATTTATTTGAAGTTAATAGAAAAATTATTAATTTAAAATTTTAATTATTGGACAACTTATATGAAATGAATAGTTTTCTACTTGCAAAAAAAATTATTGAAAATAATCCCTTACACAGGTTTATTTGAAAGTCTGCACTGTAAGCATTTTTTCCACGTGGGTATTAGAATGACTGATGATCTTAAGTCCTTCACTGTCACCAACAGTTATCAAGATGTTTTTTTAATTGGTAGGTTATTTAAAGACATCTGTATAGTTAGGTCACACTTTTTGTCTGGCTAATCTTCATCTGCCTCGTTTTCCCAAGGTATTTCTGTTGTCATCGTAAGTGTCTTCAAAACACAAGTTAGCATCAATTTCTAAATATTCTTGCATTTTAACATTGACACTGATTTTGATAAGTTCAAACGATTCATTTTTCATCAGTAATATTTTCGCTGATGTCACTCAAAAGTGGAATTGCAACGTTTGTTCTCTTAAAACAGTGCTGAACACAACTTTGCGGTATGGATTTAACAGCCTTTGTTATCAACTTTATTATGTAGACACATTTTGCAAGCTGATTGCTTTCTCCACAAGCAGCTTGACAAAGAACATGTCTTAAAAACAGTTTCTGTAATGAATCATGAAGCTTCAAATTATACCTTGATCCAAAGGCATGCTGATGTTGCGTTAGGGTAAAAGAATTAAATTCACTTATTTCAGTTTTACATTTGGTGCATGGGCTGGCGAATTGTAAAGAAATACCAGAATATTCCTATTTTTTCCTATACATTGTGTCATGAAGGGCAACAAACCATTCTGACATGCTTTGCTTCAGCCATGACATTTTATTGTGACGCTAATGGACCAATAAATCTTTGGATTGGTGTGTTTGAAGCGTCTTGTTTTTTTCAGCTTTTCTAGTTATAAGAGGTTGCTCATACTCCTTCAATGTTATAACAATGTAGCAAACAAAATCGTAAAAACAACCTTGTATTTAGCGTAAGTATAATGAAACACTCAATCGATTTCGAGGGCAGCTAAAGGTCCCTCCTCATCAGGAGAAAGAAATACCTAGAAAGAAAAATAAAGGAGAAGGAGTCTCAGAAACATGTGGTCCTTATCAGCACAGCACGTGGTTATAGCTGCCCTCGAAATCGATTGTTTCATCATACTTACGCTAAATACAAGGTTGTTTTTACGATTTTGATTGTCACATTAGCGTGTTTCTCTTCTAGTTTAATGTAGCAAAATTAGACATTCCTTGGAGCTTTTACCATAGAGTGCTTTCCTTCTTTGAAGCATAGAGTCTCGTTTTGTGAAATTCAATAAAATAATCCAGTTTCATCTGCACTGTAGATAATTTTAGCCTCATAGCTGTCACAAATTTAGCTTTTTTATCCAATATGTTACATGTTGCAAATCTACTGATTTTTAGTCACCACAAATAGTCTTAAAAGTAATGGTATGTATGCTTAAATTTGTTTAACCAACCAGCTGATACTTTGAAGTTCTGTAGTTCCCAAACTTCTTTTGCCTTTTCTTGCAATAATCCTACACTTACAGGAATATTATTTATTCTTATAGAACAAAACCAACTGAACAGTACAATTTGACATGCTTCAGTTTTCGAAATGATCTAATCTTGGAATGTTCATTTGAATTATTAATCCCTAATACTGTTATTCATTTTCTAACCTTTAGCACATGATATACTTCATTTATGCTTATTTCAAATTTCTGCTCTAAATCTCTCAAAGTAAGTTTTTCAATTTCTGCTACAGGAATTACATCAACTCTTTTTTTTAAATGTTGATCTTTTCCTCATTGAAGACACACTAAATAACATATGTAAAAATTAACACATTAGTACAAAATTAAACTTCTTTTCCTAGCAAGAAATAAAAATTGATAAAATTTTTCACTCTATCCTCATTTTGATATCTTGGCATGTGATCCCAGTCTTCTCACCATCTTTTAGTAAAAATAACTGGATTTTGAATTCTCTCATTGTGAAGTATCCTTTTGATTGCATCACAACTTGATTTTCCCCACTGTATTGTTCCCCCTTTCTCTACTGAAAAGTAGTTTTCAAAGAGAGAGTGATTAACTTTTCGTTTTATTTTCCCGTAGTCACAAAACTATCTTTCATTAAGCACAAACTTGCCTTTAAAACTTAAAAAAATTACTAATAAATAGCATTTACTTATTTTTGAAACTTTTTTTTAGTGTCCTTTAATAAGAGGTAAATACATTAAGGTCCCCTATACAGAGGGACCAGAACTAATATAATTGTCCATTACTCAAACGTATCCCTTGCAGGAAGTACTGGCATAATTTAATTTTAAAAATTAGAACACAGAATTATATGAACAAATAGCATTTTATTAAAAAGTAGCAAATGATATCATTTTTCTGTTATTAATAATAGAGGAATTGAATTAATTAAAATGTAACTTATTATTTAGTAGTAAAAATTAGCAAATGATATCATTTTTCTGTTATTAATAATAGAAGGAATTGAATTAATTAAAATGTAACTTATTATTTAGTAGTACAATTGCACTGGAAAGTACCACAGTTATTTGTTAATTCCGTTTGTCTTTTTTTTAATAATTTTGCAGTTTTAATAAAAGAATGTCTTGAACTGGGTTATCAAAATCAAAGCAAGTTTTATGGCTAAAAGCTTTCAAATCAGAAGGGGAAATTGCAGTTTGCATACAGTTTTTTGAAAGAATGAAGTTAACAACATGGTTGCTGTCTTCAATACTTTGTATTATTATTTTGTGTTTTATGATGTTACATAATTTAGGTCTTCACATGCTCTTGACGAAGCTTGAGTATTTCTTCTTCAACCTGGTATATTGCTATAAAACGAAGCAAAATAACTGAAAAAAAGGAAAACATTTTAAATCAAGACTATGTTTACAATTTACAAATGCGGTCATCCCAAATTAGTTGCAGTAATGAAAAGGGAAATATAGAGAAAATCATATTCTTAATTTAAAGGCTTTTGAAGAGATAATTGGTCAAGTCTCCAGAGGTATCAAAATTTGACATTTCACCCCACCCTTCCACCTCGGAAAGTGGGGTAAAAAGACATGACCACTAAGGTGGACATCCAGTTCTATTGGTCATCTGTAAATATTTTGTGTATTTTCTGATGTTTATTTTTGTGTCCTAAATTTATTTTTATGTCTAAAATTTTTGTAATATTTTTGCTTTTTAATGTGTGAATCTAACATGTTTGTAATTCTTTTATTTCGTAGAATATTCTCCAAGTCTGTGAACGTATCCCTACTATTAGTACACAGCTTCGAATTTTATCTACGGTTAAAGCTACAATGCTTGCTGGCCAAGGTATGAGCTCAAGAGGTTCAGTTTTTAACTGTGACATTAATGTTTTTCCTTGTTGCAAATAAATATTTTTCAATAATAAAAACTTTTAAATATCACATTAACACATGAAACTGTTTTTTAGGAACAGACGAGGATTTGGAAGCCACAGAAATGTTGGTTGGCAATGCTCAAAATTTAATGCAATCTGTGAAGGAAACAGTTCGTGCATGTGAGGCTGCATCCATAAAAATACGCACTGATTCTGGTATTCGAGTCCGCTGGATCCGTAAGCAACCTTGGTATCAATATTGAAGAGAAGACTAATCTTTACATTATTATGCAATTAATTTACTAACTTCTGTTGAAACGCTAACTAGATTTAATCTAATTTTTAAATTTTTGACATGTTTATTTACATTTAAACGTTGTGACTAATGTAATGTCCATCTTATGGTTCCTTTAACTTTAAATAGGAAGTCTTTTTGTATCATAATTGTTTCTTTGGGTCATACGTTAAAAAGAGTTTAGTTTTTAATATACCTTTTTTTAAAATTACGTAGACTAGTGTAGACTTGACTATTTTCCGTTTCTGAAAACCTTTTACTATTTTCATTTCCTAGTTTTGTGCACTTAATTGTTATAACTTAATGTGTATCAGTACTTGATCATGTGTGTTGACTTATAAGCTGTTATCATTTTCATTTATTTTATATTCTTTACATGTTCAAAAATTGTAATTGTGTGCCTCGTATAAGGAAAACTGTTTCGTATTTTCTGTGACATGCTAGCTTATTATAGAATAATAGGAAAAGGAAAGCTATTTTGTCTAAAATATGTTAAAGTTTAAGAACATGTGGTTGTGTCAGAAAAAAATGGATGTGAAGTGCGTATAATGTTGTTACATGAAAAGTTTTATTTCAGAGCAAAATATTATTGTTTGTTATTGTTAAATTTAGAATTTAAAAATTAAGTCTGTTGCAAATAAGAATAAAACTTAAGAATGTTATCTTGTCTACCAATTTTACGAATCTATATGTAATTGCTGCCTTATTCCTCATAAACTTTGGTGAGCTTTCTTGAGGATATGTAAGCTAATATTGGAATATATTGTAAATTTTAAAAAATTATATTTTTGCAGATATATTGTACTGTTTCTTCCATGATAATTTTTCTGCTTCTCATTAATTTTCTTGCTTTATATGTATGTATTTTGAGAATATGTTCTGATACTAGGGATGGTACATAGTGAAAAAGCTATGTCGATGTATGTTGTAAATATATCTTGTGCGAAATTGTATTGTTGACTTGGGAATGTAATTGTTGACTTTGCTTTGTGCTTGATAATTGTTGAAAATGCTATAATAATAATGCAATTTGGAGCCATTTCCTTTGTTTTGCCAAAGTGTTCCTAATATATTTGATAAAGTTGAAATTTTAAGCTCATTCTAACTGAGCAGTATTGCATTGTTTTAATCAAATATTCTTCCAGTGTAAGTTATGAGGTAATTGTGCATTTTTTAAAAAAATATTTGTATGGTGCAATATTTAAACCTTTTCTTATTCTCTTTACACATTTTTAAAGTATGTAGGTAATGAAAACTAAAGTATGTATTTATTTGAAGGTATTAATGCATATACATGTGCTCTGGTGGGTGTAGATATGCTCATTGGAGTTCATATTTAAAGGTTGTTAAATGATGCAAAGATTTCAGTCATTTGAAAATATTTAGAATATGATATAACTCAGCATGTACTTTTAAAATAACGCACACATTTTTCATTACCATTATTTGCTACTGTAGAAAAATTACCATAGTTTGTTTCTGTTAAAATAGGAACTACAAGGCTGTTGTCAGCCTTCTTCATTTGCAAAAATAATGCATGCCATCATCACCACACAAGACTCATTATTTTCTCCACCGCATGTAAGACTGTAGTTAGGTCAGCCTCCATTCGCCTGCTTTTCATGTAGCAAAGCATGATAAGCGGAATTGGAGGAAGCAATAAGGTGAATTGAAAAATCTGCTGCTTCAGTCATTCCCCATCATTAGGAGTCTGTATAGGCAGCAGGAAATGACATCAGAGTTCATATTTTTAAGTAATATTCCATTGATATTACCTAATTTGATAAGAAATGTGATTATCTTTGACTGTAAAGCAGTTCTTAATGATGTGTAAAATCCGTATTATGTTTATCCACCTAAAAGCTTTTTAGAGAGGATTTCTGAGATCGTGTTTTACATCAGAAAGTGATTCTGAATACATGCTAGTACTGAGAACATTGCTTTGTATTTATTTACTTCATTGTTTTAAAATCATTCTCTTTTTGAACTTTACAAGTACTTATTTATGGAAATATTTATAAAAAAATGGACTACTGTTGTGGGAAGCATGATTATTATAGTATTGTGTTCATAAGTCTTTTGCATTTAAAGGTGTTTTTCAGGGATTACTTCTCATAGAATTGTGCACTAATATGCTAAGCTAAAATATGGCTCTGTCAAAATAAATTTCTCAATAAAAACACTTTTTTATGAAATTGCTATTTCTTTATTCATGTTATAGTTAAGCTGTGTTTATGTAAATTGAATACATACCCTATTTACCCTTAGCTGAAAGTTTTTTAAGTATTCACATAATCTTCCCCATCTTCAAGATAAGTCAGAAAGCAAGCTTTCTTAAATTTTAAAATGGTTTCAACTATATAGATCATTTTCATCTTACAAATTGATTTGCATGTGGATTTTGGCTGCATGGGCTCTAAACAATAATAGTGAAGAACTTCAAGAAAATGAAGATATCTCATGCTCGTGATGATTCTAAAGCTCATTGCAGGTGGGAAGACAGATTGAATGGTGATGATGGCAATGACCTGCAGGCTGTAGCAGACAGCAGTTCCAAAAGTATATAATGATTTGAGGCCTAGGAAGTAGGAGTTGAAAGTAATAAAAGTGAGATTCCATATACAGGAAGTAAAAATGACGATATCTTATTGATAATATTACTGTGTAAATCTTATTGGAATGTAGTTTTCTTTTAAATAAATAATATTGTTATAGTTACTGTTAGTTTATCCATAAAAACTTTTCATTTGTTAGTTTGTGTGACTAAATTAGTAATAAGAGAGGGGAATTATGTGAGTAAATGGCATTCATAAAAAATTGTGGAGATCTCTGTAAAAAGGTTATAAATATTCATCTTCCGTCCATTTAGTGATTTATGATATTTTAAGAGCTCACTTCTAGATGTTTTTTCCTTTAAATTTAAATCTTCCTTTAGTAAAGACTCTTTGGGGGGCAGCGAAATTTATCATTGATGATTCATTTTTAAACTAATCCTACAGTATAGTTTATTTCAGCTACATTGGATGTAAAACTGGTAGTTCTCATAAAATGTTTCAATGTCAGTTCGCTTAAAGATAGCAGAGCTTAGTTTATTGTCTTCAGTATCAGAAATGCCATAATGAAAAAAAATCACGTTTTCTATTTAACTGTAATAAATTACTGCATTAATTCTAATTTTATGCATGAATTTATTAAATACAAACTAATTTTTGTAAATTTTCCTTTTTTATGATTACTAATATGCCTATGAAATTTGTTATGGCTCTTTGTGCAGTTGCAGCACGTTGTTGTGATTCGTGCTTTTCCCAAAATTATGAATATTTAAAAATAAAAAGTTCTTGAATCATGCTAGTGTTCTCAGTTTGAATCTCTGTTTAAGGAATGTATTCTCAAGGGATATGCAGATGAGAATTTACTTGACGAATAAACATAAGTATGCCATATGTGCAATTAGTTTGATTAATTTGCTTTCCAATTTTTTGTTTGTTGGATTTAATTTTGATAAGATAAATCATTTAATTAAAGTAACTTAGTACTTGTTTTAAAAATTCTAACATATCATGAATTGTAATCTTTATCAGTTTTTATTATACTAATGTGTCTGTTGACTTTGAAGTTTTCTGCCATAACTCTGTTATGATGAATGAGTATTTATTTTTAGCACTCTTTATTAGATCTTTACTTTGGTAAGTGCAATATATATTATTGATATGTTGCAATATAATAACTGTAAAGAATGAAATGGAACAGATGTTCTTTGTCCTCTGATACCTGTTTTTAAAATTTTTTGTTATAAATTTATGTATGTGGTTACTTTCATTTTAGAATATGTAAAAATGAGTATTTAATAATTTTAAATTTACATTTTTGTTTATAAGCAGCATTTGGCATATCATGAAAAGTTTTATTCTGTTCTTATAAAAATATTAATTCGAGTATATTCAAATTGAAGTTTAAGATATTTTCTTGTTAAGCTAAAAATTCAACATCTGCATATGATTTTAGTTTTTATATGTATTATTTACAAAAAACATGTTTCTATTATAGTCTGATGAGGCAACATTTTTTGTTACTCTTTTATATGTACTAGTTGTCTTTTGATACAAAAGTTTAAGGCATGTATTGTGTAGCATATATAATTTGCATTTTCCTGGTTTGCAAAGGTTTATATTCTCATCTTATTATTATCAGCATCTAGAAAATATATTTTTCAAGAAAAAAATAAGTTTTTCTGCAATTCTCTAACTAGCAAAAGGTCATAAAAATTTTGCTGCCATTTATAATTCATTTTACTTCAGTAAGCAATTATTGCCACATCTGTAAGAATTTTTCTTGTCATGAGCAATTTAATTAATGTAATTTTTGTTAATTGCATTAAAATTGTATTTTTATTTGTAATGTGATTCAGTGTATAAGTTGTGCACATTTTATCAAAATGTTTCAGTATATTTTATGTTATTAATATCCTTCCGTTTTATTAAAAGAGAAGCATTTGCTATTGGTAATAATTCCAAATAACCTTTGGTACATATAAACAAAGAAAAAATATGTTTGAAGTACTTAAATTTTTTTTGGGGGGGAAGAGTCCATAGATAGGTTAGTGATAATAAAAGGTTAATTACTATGTTAGTATGAATAAGAACAATAATGAAAACGTCTGTCAATTATGAACCTGTGATAAATAGTTTTGATCATAATTTATTATAATTTATATAAGAATTGTGCTTACGTCAATCAATTTATCTTCAGTAAAATCTTACTTAGATTGTATTTTACAGCTGTTTGAAGATTTATTGTTTTAATAAAGTAAATGTTTATGGATGTATATATTTTCAAAATTTTTTTATCTTGCATTGTCATTTGGTTGCTAAAACTAGCACTTTAGATAAACATGTTTAGGAGAATTTACGCTCAGGCAAAGATGCCATTTTACTGCTCTAGATGCATGGTGGGACAAGCGGTATCCCACCATGTCATGAATTACCTTAAAAGTTTACCTGTGTGTGTGTTTTTTCTTCTTTTTTTCATGAAATAACATTGTATTAGCGGCTAATTATCTATGTGTAAAGTTATTTTTTCCCCCCAATTTTTTTTTTATGCACCGAACCTCAAAGGGTTAATTGGCTCATTTACTATGCGAGTATATCCTTCCTCTGATAAATAACGCTTAATCGACATAATAAATTGGAGTCGAGGCTTTCCAAAAATAAAAAGGAAAGAACGTGAAATATATCCGAAAACAACGCAAAGCATAACAGAATTTCAAACAGTAACCCTAAAAGGCCCTATATTTTATGTATTACATCCTCCGCCTTTAGGCACTACATGGAAAAGGAGGGATGCCCCATGGAGGTCTTTTTAAAGGAAAGTAACTCATATCCAATTTTACACACGGGGCAAACGACAAAAATGCCCATGCAGCCAGCCCGTTCACCAGAACTCAAACCCTGGATTGAATTACCAGTGTTCAGTGGTTTTCACCGCTCGTCCACTGGTGGGCTCTAAAAGACCCTGTGAAGTACAGAAAAAAGGATTCGGAGGAATATTGGAAACGGAATGTTTATATCACGTGGAGAGTTATAGAGACGAGTTTATTAACATAATGCTTTCTTTCCTCCACAGCAACATCATATCAACGTTACGTAGAATGTGATCAAACTGAAGGTTAGAAATCCTGAAACTATATTCAGCTCAAAAGTAATGAATAATGAATGGACACAGGATGCCATGTAGTGATCTTTAAAGCGTTCGAGAACACTGACATAAATATGTAACAGCTGGTGGTGAATAAGAAAACGCTGTGGCATGGCTGCGTGCCAGCCGGGAAGCATTAAGCAAAATGTATGCACTGCTAGGATAATGGCTTGAGTTTGACCAATGACAATCCAGATTATGGTCACCATTAACTCTGCCCACATAAGTGATGTTACATTTCTGATGTTCGTTTACATTCTGTTGGGCATTACTAAGTGCATTTTTGAATGAACAACATTTTTACTCTAATATGCTCTAGTGATGCTATTTTTTAAATTTTTCTCTAAAGTATTATTTCCTTACTGTTCTAGAAGGAATATAAATTTATGTTTCAAACTTGACAAAATTTCTTTCTATGTGCACGCATATATATATACACACATATGGACACATACAAAAACATTTTGCCCCAGCACTGGGTTGTTGTACAAATACATCGAGAGACGATTGTATATTTTGTGGGAAGATGGAAAATGAATCTTTGAAACAATCCACTTCAAACTGCAGAATTTTAATTGAGGAGAAGAGAAAGAAATTGTTGTTGTTGCTGATGCTTACTTGTCTGACATAGACAGCCCAAGCCCACGAAAATCCTCGTGGCAAGAAGTGCTAGATTACGCCTGTCGTTGGCAGCAGCCTTGAGCTCCATTCAGGTGATACTGTGATTTAGCTCAGTTCTACTCCCGATTTTGAAGGAAAGCACCCTAGGGAGATGGGTCCAAGGGTCTCCCACATCTCTCCCTTTCCACCAATCCACACGAGAGGACATTTGGCTCGCCGCATATTTAGATTGTCGCCATGATGCACTGACAATATACATTTACAAGCATCCATGCCTTCTCTGGGATTTGAACACAGGCCCTTCGACACGGCAGTCAGTGACGCTAACCATTATATTTTCAATATATGTAAGTTATATGTATCAATATAATATCTCACTAAATACAAATAAAAATATCTTACTAAATACAAAATTCATAACAATATGAATCTGCTATAGATAATGACTGCTTTAAAAGATGTAGACAAATTTAATTACCTCAAATCATTACTAAAGGACACAACTTTAATGTCAATAAAAAGCTTTCCACTAGTTGCCGAAAATTACAAGGCAATTGAAATACTTGCTGTACAACAAATGAAAATGACACTAAGATATGCGAAGATTTGAAAAAACAATTGAATATAAAAACAATCATTATGAAGTTTTATTACCTTGGAGGGACAACGTTAATAAAATGGGTAGTAATTATAACATCCCTTAAACAGATGGAACAGTTTACTTATAAGGTTTTAGAAAACTCCTAAAATTTATGACAGGTATTCAAGGGTAATTGAAGATTATCTAGATAGATAAAGGAATAGCTGAAAAAAACTCCTTAGAATTCTGCAGAAAACATCTATTTTTGCCACATCATTGTGTAATCAGAGAAGATCACGATTCTGCGAAATTAAGGGTCGTATTTGATGCTTCCTCACATATTCACGACAGTCTATCTTTAAATCATTGCTTACATTCAGGACCAAATTTAAATCCTGAATTATTAGATTTGCTAATTAATTTTCGTCTACACAGAATAACATTCACTGGAGATATCGAAGCTGCTTTTTTACAAATTCTGTTGAAGCTTGAGGACAGAAATGCAGTAAGATTTCTTTGGACTGCAAAAGAAGAGGAGCAACCGAGGATTTTCAACAATGATGCGTGTAATATTCGGAGCGACCTGTAGTCCATTTCTGTTAGCACCAACTATAAAGCATCACGCAAGAAAGTTGAAATCACAATATTCGAAGATCTGCCAGCTTCTTGAAGAAAATATTTAGATGATTTGATTTTTCATGGTACAGATGATGATGAAGAAGCTGCAGAAATTTATAAAGATGTGGGAAAGATTATGATGCTGACTAGTTTCAGTATGAGAAAGTGGAGGAGCAGTAACTCCCAATTACATGCGATTTGGAATGCAGCTGAAAATAAAATTTTAACAAAGACGGAATGAATAGCATTTTGTTAGGATATATTAGGAATTATGAAGCAGATGGGTCCGCGACACTTAGCCGACAACCACTAAACTGACACCAGTTAGCCGACACAGACACTTAGCCGACAGGACATTTATCCGACACGGACAGTTAGCCGACACGTCATTTGGCCAACACAGAAAGTTAGCCATCAGGACATTTAGGTACGAGATGCTTAACTGTCAAGACATTTAGTCCAGAGGTTACTAAGCCGATAGTGACGTTTAACTGACACGTATGCAAAAATTATTTAAACTATCAATTACAAAATTTCTCGACTACTCTATAAGTTCAATATTCAAGTCGTTTTTTTCATCTATCAGTAAAATTCATTTTTCGATTCTTAAAAATCTCATATGTGGTGTTAATTGTTGTGTTAGTTTAGCATTGTGTGATATGTATCGTGCTATTTGGTTTACATTGGCAAAATTGAAAAAGTGCTGAAATTTCTCGTCAGGAAATATGAATTAAATTTCGAAAGGAAAAAAAGAATTTTTTTAGCTAAGTATGGCGGTCACTTAAATACATTTTAATATGATCTTCAGAAATTATCCGTAAAGCTAAACCAAAAACGAGGAAGAAGGAATAAAAGAGATAAAAAAAAATGAAAATAATTTATAAGAAAACATAACATACCATATTAAAAATTACACATCGCGACTTTCAAAACATAGTACATAATATTTTCTATTTACATGACTAATCTAGTTAAATCTAGCATCGATAGATGGCACCACATTACGGTGACTTTTACGATGTGATGCTTTGCTCCGCCCTACTTGGTTTGTGGCCCCTTCCTTCTGCAGCTTCAGTTATGAATAAATCAAAACCGTAAAGAATATTTTACTTCTAAATTAAACATTATGCACTAGTTTAGGGATATAAACATTAACCTAAGTAAGTATTTTAAGCGAGAGGCATGGTCAATAAAATGTTACAGAATTTTTATTTCGAGAATGTTGACATGAACTGCAAAATATAGAGGTCACAAATAATTTATACCTTTGCTTGTCTTAAAAATTCACTTTTTCTAATTTTTTTAATAACAAAATAAAATATATTTTCTAAACTAACTCTCAGCACCATATGATCCTATAAAAAGTATAATTCAAGAATAAAAATAATTTTTATTGCATTATTCAGATTTTTCATAACAGGGAAAGGAAACTTCATTAGTGGGAGGAGCCAAACGATTTTGTGAGGGAAAGACTGTAACATGATGTGATGAGTAAAATAGTAATTGAAACGTAAAGATATTAGACATTTGAAAGCATTTGGAAGAGATTGGAAAATTAATATCGTTAATTAAACAAGAAAAATTATTAATGATGTGAAAGTGTTCAAAAGAACCCAATTGATTAATTCAAGAAGCTTTACGGAAAATTTTTGAAGATCCCATATTAAAATGTAATTAAGTGACCACTGTACTTAGCTAAAAAAATTCCTTTTCCCTTTCGAAATTTCATTCATATTCCCCGACGAGAAATTTCAGCGCTTTTTCAATTTGGCCAATATACACCAAACAGCACTATACATATAAAAAAATGCTAAATTAACAAAATAATTAAAAGCACATATGAGATCTTTAAGAATCGAAAAATGAATTTTATTGATAGTGAAAAAAAAAAAAAAATAACTTAAATATACTTAAATTTTGAACTCATGGAGAAGTCGAGAAATTTTGTATTTGATAATAAGTTTGAATAATTATTGGGTACGTGTCAGCTAAATGTCACTGTCGGCTTAGTGTCCGGTTGATTAAATGTGTTGACAGTTAAGTATCCCGTAGTTAAATGTCCTGACGGCTAACTCTGTGTGTCGGCAAAATGTCCTGTCGGCGAACTGTCCCTGTTGGCTAAATGTCCTGTCGGCTAAGTGTCTTGTCGGCTAACTGTCCATGTCGGCTAACTGTCCATGTCGGCTAAATGACTTGTCGGTTAAGTGTCCGTGTCGGCTAAATGTCCTATCGGCTAGGTGTCCGTGTCGGTTAAATGTCCTGTCGGCTAAATGTCCTGCCGGCTAAGTGTCCATGTCGGCTAAATGTTTTGT